CGTGTGCACAAATGTGCATGTGCCCAATCCCCCACAAATGCAATGCACGTGCCTCCTGCGCATGTCCCCCACCCCCGCACATGCATGCATTCCCCCCACCTGCATGCACACACAGTCCCCTGCATGCCCCCACTCCCCCATGCATGCACATGCTCCCCCTACACACACACACACCCCACTCATACGCGGCAGAAACCTGAAGACCAGCTGGCTGGTGGGAGGCGCGTGCATGCGTGGTGGATCTGAACTAGGTCGATGGTTCGAGTGCCATCAGAGAGGGCGCTCTGGCATGCGTGCCATAGGTTTTCCATCATGGCTATAGTGTATCCTGAAGCCAAACCTAGTTTGGCCACTTGTAGTTCCAGTTTTGTCTTTTATAAACTAGATGTATGGAACACTTTTTCCAACCTAGATGTCTTCCATGTATGATCTTGACCCCCTAGAATTTCCCGACTAGCGTGTTCCTTATTGGACATCAGAGCCCTCCAATCTACACTATATCTGTGCAAATTTAGGACTGCAGAATGTTACTCCCAATGTACTACCATATTTAATTTTTAAATTGTGATTTTTTTTAATCACCTTAATTTTTACGGTGATTAAGTGCAGATTATAAGTAGCTAGGGCACAATCACATTAATGAAATCATATTAAGGTTAAATGAAATATTTTACTGGGGCCATTTTTCCACAGTAGAACTTGAGGTAGAACTTTTGGCATACCTCTCAAAAGCCAAGGCTTGCCTGTATTGTGAAAGCTCTACTCATAGAATTTTACAAATTGTCTCACTAACATTCATGTTTTCTGTGGTTCCATTTTTCAGTGAGAAGATTTCACCATTATTTTAATTTAATTGAATATAGATTGCATAAACATGTTTTAGTGCTGTTTAAAGACTTGATAAAGATATTAAACAGGCAATTAAATATGGCCTTCTTGCAGTCTATGAATTAATGTCTGCTGAGTTGATAACAGCAGTAGATGTCAATATATTATATCCCACATTTAAAGCATGATTCTTCAACATCTAAAAGAGTAAATGCTAATAGCAGTGATGTGAATCAAATAGTGGTATGAACACAAATGATGTGTAATATTCCGCTGCTAGGAAGAAAATCCAACTGCTATTTCATCTGTAGGTAAAAGAAGTATAAATCATAAAAAGTGGAACAATACATTTTCCCCACAACTGTGTGGTTTGGATGATGTTCATGCATGTATGCATGCATGCATCATAAAAATTAAGTATTAATTACTTTTATTTGCATAGTACAGCTGCAATTANCATGAAATTAATTTTGAAGGAACCAGGTTAATCTCCAAAACTGAACACTTCAACAAGAGAATAATTATGGAAGCTATCGAAATAGAAAAACACCCACACAACATGAATAAACGTGATCTATCTACTGATAAGCTTTCCCTTCCTAGAAAAGGAGGGCCATCTGAAGCCACCTGCAGACTTTACAATATCTTGTGTTCCTAATCAACAGATAGAAAAACTGTTCCATATCATTTGGGGAGGATGTAATTTTGGTCAGAGATTTTCTTTCCATAGACCTGAAGTCAGTCTGTATTCAGTGATGCTAATTGAATGGGTGCTTTCTAGTGGCACTATTCTGGTATATATCACCGTCAGATGCCCTCTTCCACAATAAGAAAATGAAAGACTGGAATTTTCATGACAGTGCTTTTTCTATAATAGACAATTCATGCAAAGTAGGTGTAGGAATCTTTCGGACTTCTCAAGAAGCATCTGTGTGTGTGTGTGTGTGTGTAATTTCCATTCAGTCATGTCTGATTCTCGCACAAACCCCTAAAGTTTTTTCTTGGCAAGGTTTTTCAGAAGTGGTTTATCCTTGCCTCCTTCCTAGAACTGGGAGGAAATGACTGGCCCAAGGTCACCCAGTTGGCTTTGTGCTTAAGATGGAACTAGAGCTTACAGTTGCACGGTTTCTAACCTATTGCTTTGCTACATCAAACTGGCTTTTGTGTCTATGTATATAGCTATACAAAAATATGAGTAATGTTTTACTACATTCAAATAAAGGCTATTAAGAGTCAAATTTTGTCATTCTGAAGGTTAGGATTGGCACATTCTCACAATAACAAATGCTAATGTTGCCAGCTTAAGTGATTGGGTGGGGTTACATGCTATAAAATGTAAATCCCTGCTATTAAATTTTATATACTGCTAAGCTAAACTGTCTAATGAAATTACATGAACAATAACAATTCTTTTTAGAACATTTCAGCAAGTTTGGACATTAAAAGTCTCAACATAATAATACAAATTCTGTACCCTTTCAAACTTAAGAATTACCTTCTTTTGTTTACATAAAACTTGAAATAATATAACAAATGAACTAATCTCTTTTGTTTTATATTTTAGACTTATAAAGAACATTTGGAGGGTCAGAAGCATAAAAAGAAGGAAGCAGCATTGAAAGTATCGCAGAACACCACCAGTAACAGTGCTTCTTCCCGTGGGACTCAGAACCAGTTGCGTTGTGAGCTCTGTGATGTGTCCTGCACAGGAGCTGATGCTTATGCTGCTCATATTCGTGGAGCTAAACACCAAAAAGTAGGCCTTTCCCCTTCTTAATTTTTTTATAGACTTTAAAGTCAACTTTATACACATTTAGCAATATAAGTCTATTCTATAAGCAATGCATGTTTTATCAATTTTGTTATATTTTGTTATATTAACTATTTTTATTAATGGTTCCAGGTGGTTAAGCTGCATACTAAACTTGGCAAACCCATTCCTTCAACTGAACCAAATGTTGTCACCCAGGCTACATCAGCAACATCGTCTTCTAAGCCAGCATCTGTATCTTCAAATATCGCAACTAGCAGCAACACTGTGAATTCTTCTGTAACATCTTTGGCAGTGAAAATTCTTACTCCTTCTGCCAATGTACTACTTAGTACAACATCAAACAGCAAATCTACAATTGTTCCAACTAACATTGCTGTAAAAAAGATATCTACACCCAAAATTAACTTTGTTGGCAAGTATAGAGGTCTTTATTGTTAAATTTATAAAAAAAATATTAACACTATGTATTCATTTATATGTAACTATAAAAATTGCAGTACATTTTATATGAGAGCCAATTTGGTATTGGGGGGAGTTAAGGTAGCAGGCTAGAAACTGGGAGATCATGAGTTCTAGTCCCGCCTTGAGCATAAACCATCTGGGTGACCTGACTTTCTCTCAGTCTTAGGAAGGAGGCGATGATAAACCACTTCTGAAAAATCATGAAGGGACTTATCCGGGCAGTCTTTGAGAATTGGACATGATTGAATAGGCAGTCAGATCATTTATTTTTTTAACTGATGGTGATTGGATTTTTGAATAAGGTTCTTTAATTGGACTGATATTTTCCATTCATACCTTTTCCAGAAATCTTGATAATTTTCAAAATTGCTAATTAAGTGTTGAAATGTTAATTACATGCCAGATGTAATAGCCTTAGAAGTTGACCTTTCTAAGGCTTCTTAAAATGTCTTGGCTATGTAGGAGTCTCAGCTTTAAATTTACTTTTTAAATTCTACAGTCTTGTTTAGAATTTGTAATTAGCAATGGAATTAAAAATCACTTGGTCCTCTCTATAACTGCTCTCTTTGAGGCTTGACCCAGCCTTTACATCTCTGCAGTGAGCTCTCCAGGGTCCTGATACAACCTTGTAGAACTGTTTGGAGTTTAATTATTCATCTACATCTCTTATTTGTAGATTTCCCCAAAATTTCACAGCCAATATGGCTATTGCTGAGAATTTTATAAAGTTATACATTTGGAGGGCACCAAGTTCCAGAAGGCTGTTCAATCTATAGAAACTGATGAGAACTGTGTTGTAATCTTCAGCCAGGAAAAGAGATTCCAGAGTCATAGCTTTCCATGTGTGTCATTTGGGCAGCAGATTTTCAGCAGTTGACATAGATATAAATGATGTTTGGACAACTCTTTTATTTGATTATTGTGTTTTTTAAAATATCTGGATTAATAATCTCCAAATAATTTGCAATAAATATATAAAAACACAAAACTAGTTAAGAATGAATAATCAGAATGTAAGTTTCTATGTTGCAGGGCAACTCAAACAAAGAAGCACTATGGGAAGGATTATTGTAGGCAATGGTCATTTTCCTTTTATACTATTTTATTATTAGGTGGCAATAAATTACAGACAACAGGAAGCAAAGCGGATGAAATGAAAGCTGTAGAAAATATCAAGACTACCCCTATTGCCACAGTACAAATGCAGGAAACTAAACCAGATCCCTCTGCTGAACCTGTAACTTCTACAGCTCTTGCTGCTTTGCAAAGTGAGGTCCAACCTGTTGGTCATGACTATGTAGAAGAGGTAATATTGTGAAAACTAAATCCAGATATATCACATAGCGTAAGCTAAATAAAGGCACATTAGCTAGCATAAATGTGTTAAAATTTGCAGAATTGAAATTACAGAATCATAGTATTTAAAGCTGAGCTATTATTGATGGTTACTTAAATTTCACCTTATTTGAATCTAGTTTCATAAAAATTAGTTGCAATGCTGTTTGGCATTTGAGAAAAGAATTCTTATCTTAGCAATTAGATTGTTTAAGATATGGAGCATTCTTCAAAATTGAATAATCAGAATTCATATGCAAGGCAACATATATTGGTATACTGTGTTTCCCCCAAAATATGACCCACCCCAAAAAGAAGCCCTATCGTGTTTTTAAACACATGTGCTAAAATTAAGTCCTATCCCCCAAATAGCTCTAATTGAGATCCCAGGGTGCAGGGTGGGGTGAGGCACACAGGTGGAGCTGCCCTATTTACCAGGCCTCGCACACCGCGACACTTGCCTCGCCTTGCAGGCCCACTTCTACAGCCACTTGCCGTCGCTTGCATGTGTTGCCCCCACCCTCCATTTTGCTGCTGGGCTTCCGAAAAGCCCTATGAAACCAAGAAACGAGATCTGAATTGACACTCGTGTCACCCCCGGGCTTCGTTTTGCTGTCAAAGGCTTCCAGAAAGCCCTTTGCAGCGGATAACAGAGCTCTGGTTCGATCCAGAGCTCTTTTATTGACTACAGATGCCTTCCGGAAAGCCTCTGAAAGCGAAATGGAATCCAGTGGGTACCGGGCGTGTCAATCTGGAGCCTGTTTCTCAGCTGCAGAGAGCTTTCTGAAGGCTCCGATAGCGAAATGGAGGCCGTGGGCAATGCGTGCAAGTGGCAGCAAGCAACCGCAAAAGAAGTGGGCCGGCAGTGGGCTCCTGGGTGAGGCTGTTGCTGCCACTGTCACTGCCACAAGGTAAGTCAGTAATAGACACCACCACCACCCCTGAAAAGAAGCCCTATTCGTTTTTTTGGGGGGGGGTTTAAAAGAAAATAAGGCGGGGTCTGTATATACTGAAATGTAGAGTTTAACTTTTGAAATTGAAAAATGGTGCAATGTTAGATAGTCTAGTAATAAATACTTGTTCTTAAATTGTACCGTGTAGATACAGTAATGTTTTCATATCGTTTACATTTGTGGTAATAGTTGCATTTTACATTAATGTGTGAGAAATAGTCCTGTGCTGGATTTGTATCTTACTGTAATTGAATAGTAACATTAAAAGAGGAGAAAGAAACTAGTTTGCCATTTAGGTTTTCTAAATAACTCTGCCCTCATTTCAAAGTTGTATTGGCAGAAATGGGTTAACATGAATTATTGTGCCTCTGTTGTTAGGAACAAAAAAAAATACAACTGAATTGTGTTATTTCTATATATTTTTTAAGTAAAAAAAATATTTTTTTAATTTTTTTTTTCTCAAAACAAACAACACATAAAATCTTCCTTCTTTACATACTGTAGAACAGTGGTCCCCAACCTTTTTATCGCCGCGGACCAGTCAGCCTTTGATAATTTTACCGTGGCCCGCTGAGCNACAACAGTTCATTTAGTGACCTTTTGAAGTTAGAATGGCACTGAAAAAAGTGACTTTTGAGTTTTTCATACTTATGACCTTTGCAGCATTCCCAAGGTCATGTGATCAACATTCGGATAGTTGGCAACTGACATGTATTTTTGACAGTTGCAGTGTCCCGAGTTCATGTGACAAGCAAAGTCAATGAGGACGTTGGATTCACTTAACAACTGTGTTACTAACTTAATCGCTGTAGTGATTCATTTAACAATTCCATCAAGAAAGGTCATAAAATGGGGAGAAAGTCACTTAACAAATGTTTCAGTTAGGAAGATTGTGATTGTAAGGTGAAGATTACTTGTACCTGAGACAGCACAGAAACAAGGTCAAGAAATTGTTGTTGCTTGATATTTGTCCCAAGGATGCCTTTTTAAAGAGACAAATTGGACTTTCTGGGTTTTCTTTGAAGACATTTCTCAGTTCTTGGATGAGAAGCGAAACGTCTTCAAAGAAAAACCAGAAAGTCCAATTTGTCTCTATAAAAAAGCACCTTTGGGACAACCATAACCTGGAGGACTGAGAACCTCCATAGATATTTAGCTTTGCTTGATATTTATTTATTCAATCAATTTATATAGTTGCTCATCTCGATGACTCTGACATTTTGAAGAGATGGAGAGCCAAATTAGCCTTTGATCTTGCCTTTTGATATATACAGGCTCCACAATGGAAAGAATATATGTGGGTTTTTTTATGAGAGTGTTCGTAAAAGCTACTGGTATTCAGTAGCTGCCATTCACATTTCTTACCATATTGCTTTGCAGTAGCATGCAAGATGTAAATGAAACTGGTTGTCAACCAACCATCCAGCACTGAATGCCAAGGGGAAAAAATTGTAATACGCCAACAGCTCTGCTGAGGTTTAGCTTGCTATTTTGATAGGAACGCTGGGTGTGTAGTATTTTGGAAACAAAAATTACCGTGGGGTAAATATGTGAGCATGATAGCCTTCATTAGATACAAACTTAACGTAAACTGCTCCAAACTCGATTACGGAAAATACGACTTCAGTAACAGAGTTGTCAGTGCCTAGAATGCACTACCTGATTCTGTGGTTTCTTCCCCAAACCCTCAAAACTTTAACCTTAGACTGTCTACTGTCAACCTCACCCCATTCCTAGGAGGTCTGTAAGGGGCATGCACCAACGTGCCTATTGTCCCTGTCCTAAGAACTCCATTTATTTGTAGCCATTTCATGTATTCAAATCATGTTTATACATATGTTATCTAATCACGCTTGACAAAATAAATAAATAAAATAAATAAATTAGGCTTTTCCATTTTTTTGTAAGGAAAAATGCCAAACAGTGAACAGAATCAGAGAAGTACAGAGATGTTAAAATTTAGAAGCTGTAAAGAGTTCCTATGAGATATGGGTGACTAATCTACCAGGCATGCATACATTACATTCTATGTTTGGCTCAAAGGGGTTTGGTTCAAAATTTCAACATGTAATTACAGATATTCCTTGACTTACAACTACAATTGAACCAAAAATTTCCATTGCTAAGCAAGATGGTTAAGTGAGTTTTACCCCATTTTACTACCTTTCTTGCCACGCTTGTCAAGTGAATCACTGCAGTTGTTAAGTTAGTAACACTGTTGTTAAGTGAATCTTGACTTCGCTTGTCAGCAGGTTGCAAAAGGGGAATCACATAATCCCAGGATACTGCAGTTGTCATAAATACATGCCAGTTGTAAAGCATCTGAATTTTGATCATATAATCATGGGTGCTGCCAGTTTGGCCCAGATCGGCCAAACTGTTAGTAACTGTGGTAGGACACTCCACCCACCCGACCATACGCTTCTGCACAGATGCTTCTGCGCATGTGCAGTAGCTTCTGTACATGTGCAGAAGCATTGCATGCGTGCGGGAACATGCCTGAACCAGTAGTAAAAAAATTAGCAACCCACCTCTGATAGAGATGCTATACTACAACAATCATAAATGTGAAAAATAGTCAGAAGTGACTTTGTTCAGTGCCATTGTCAAATGATCATTAAATGAATGGTTGTAATTCAAGGACTCTCTGTAGTTGTAATTTAAAAGGCTATAAACACCTTGGCACTGATATTTACAATGGAAGACTTGGCGCTCATAATTAGATAGCAAAGCTGTTCTGTTTGACAGAAACTGAAAAGATCAATTTTGGTCTGATAAAACATGAGAAAGCAACTGTTCTATGAAACTTGCATGAATACAAACAAGCTGGAATGAAATTTTCTTATTTATATTTTACCCATGACTGTCAGTTTAATAATAAAATGAAATAAATGAAGGAAAACATTAATTTGTCCACGAACTGTCTTAGCTCTGAGGAGAAATGGTGGCGGTGGTGGTGGTGGTGGCGGCGGCGGCGGCGGCGGTGGTGGTAGTAGTAGTAGTAGTAGTAGTAGTAGTTTTTAGTGTTGATCCTCTCTTTCACATAGACAATCCTGTTCCTAACTTTTATCCAAATTTATTTTCAATGGAAATGATTGTGGTTGTTGGACAGTTTTTAGGCATGCAGTTTTTCTTACGCAAAAACAGTTTGGCAAACAGATTATAATCCCTGGACCCAATTTCTATTTCCTGTGCTTAGTTCTCTGGAAAAACAAGGAACACTTTTATGGCATGATGCAAACGGGTCTTGAATTGAGCACTGTGCTTGAGACAGTGTAGGAAATATCTAGCTCTGAACCTTATCCTAAAGGTTTTCTATATATGCACAAGTTACAATATGGCTGTATTACATTTTTATCCCACCTCTCTTCATGTTAGATTTAACAGTGAAGATATTGAATTGGTGGATAGTTTCTGCCTTTTGGAGCAACTATCAAAGAACAAGCAGTCAAGAAATAAGTTGTAGAGTAGCACTTGGCAGAACAGCCATGAAAGCCTTGGAAAGAATATTCAAATGATGTGATGAGTTTATACTAACATAATTGTGCAAGCTGCAGTATTTCTTGTGATGCTCTACGGAAGCAAAAGTTGGACTTTGAAGGATAGAAAGAGTATTGAAAAGTCAAGAAAACAAACAAATGGATCATCTAACACAGATTTCCCCAAACTTTCCGGCTTTGTGGCCCAGCGGGTGTGGGAGAAGGGGGTGGTTCTACGCGAGTGTACACAGACCCATTTGCGTGAGCAGTGGGCATTTGGACCTGCCACTAGTGCAACTGGAGCACATGCACTATGTTCATCCACTGCTCGCACAAGAGGGGATAAGCATGTGCTTGCTTGCCACTTTGCAATGGCTCAGAGGCTCGGTAGTGGGCGCAATCCAGGGTTTGGGGACCCCTGTTCTAACAAATCAACCCAGAGTTCTTATTCATGGAACAAATTACCAGAACTTGTCCTGCTTCAGACACATTACATGAAGACTTGAGATTTTGAGCAGCTTTAATGCTGGCAAAGCTGG